GTGGCACATGCCTTTAATCCCAGCACTTCAGAGGCAGAGGCAGGTGGATCTTTGTGAGTCTGAGCCAGCCTAGTCTACATAGTGAGTTCTAAGACAGCTGGGGCTACAAGGAGACCCTGTCTCAGAAAGACAAAAAAAAAAAAAAGTGGAGATCCTGGGGCTGGAGAGATGGTTCAGTAATTAAGAGCACTGACTGCTCTTGCAGAGGACCCAGGTTCAATTCCCAGCACCCACATGGCAGCTAACAACCATCTGTAACTCCAGTTCCAGGGTATCTAATGCCCTCTTCTGACTCCATGGGCATTGCATGACATAGGTGCATCTATACACATGTAGGCAATACACTCATACACATAAAATAAAAATAAAAATATCACTATCTCACCATGATACAAGAGAGATTTCCCTACATCTGTCATCCCCTCCAAGGCTCAGGGGCCCTTGTGGAAGATTGATGGAAAGATTATAAGAGTGGAGGAAAGGGGGGGAGTGTAGCCCAAAAATGATTTATTCCTCCCTGGCTTCTGAAGAGCAGGGCACCCTGGGAAGCAAGGTGGAGCCCAGTGTGGGGAGAGATTGGAACAAAAGGATTTGGCACCATTCTGGGAAGTAGGGAACAGGGAGCGGGTGAGCCAGCCTTCCCTGGACCCCATGGGGTGCCAGGGGACCTCGAGAGGACCCCGTGGCCCCCTCACAGAACTCTGTGGGGTCAGTGGGCATGCGGAGACACACAAGAGGCAGACGGTGGGCAAAAGTGATCCCGGGACAGCAGGCCGAGCTGCGCAGACCTGGGTCCTGGGTGTCAGATGTTAGTTTCTTTTTAAATGTCTCCCCTCCCCCTTGAAAGGTATAAACTATGCAAAATTCAGATTTTAAAAAATATTTTTTTAGAGTTGAGATCACATTGAGCTGGGAGAGGTCTGAGGTGAAGGTTGCCACATCTGGCTGATGCTAGTAAATTGGGGTGCTGGGAGTTGGTGGTTTGAATGAGAACTGTCCCCCACAGGCTCAAGTATTTGAACACTTGGTCCTCAGTTGGTGGTGCTATTGGGTGAGCGGTCATGGAATCTTTAGGAGGTGTGTCCCTTGTATGGGGTGCGGCTTTGTGTGCTCTCTGCTTCATGTTTGCACTGGAGATGGGATCCCTCAGCTTCCTGGTCCTGCCACTGTGCCCGCTGCTTGCTGCCATGCCTCACCACCATGATGGATTCTCTGTCTGGAACCATAAATCAAAATAAACTCTTTCGTTCATAAGTTGTTTCTGGCCATGGTCTTTGTCACAGCAATAGAAAAGTAAATTAGTACATGAGGCTAGGGTTTCAACTTTGTTTGAGTCCTCTGAGGAAAGGGTGCTGCTCCTCAGATGCTGATATATCTGAGGAGGCACAATAGGTCTGGTTCTAGAAGAGCCAAAAGAGAATATGGGGGGCAGGGGGCTGGGGAGATGACTCAGCAGTAAAGAGCACTGGATGTTTTTGAAGTGGACTGCAGTTCAGTTCCCAGATAATGTAATTCAAGTTCTAGGGGATCTGATGCCATCTTCTGACCTCCACAGGCATTGTACTACACGGGTGTATTTACATGCATACAGGCAATACACTCATATACATGAATAAAATAAAATATTTTTTATAGAAACGATGCAGTAATACTAAACGGGCCCCAGTGACAACAGGAACAGCAAAAGAGAAGCAGCCAGCGAGCCTCCAGACTCACTGTGGCAAAGCAGCAAAGGCTGCTGACGAAGGAAAAGGCACAGTGCAGCCCCTTACTGTCACCACGGCAGAGTACTAAGGGACCACAGAAGAAAGACAAAACTAAGGAGCATCCTGCTGTCCTTAAAAGAGTTTAGCCACTCAGCATCTTTATCTTCCGTTTTACTCCCTTCCTTTCTCATCATTTCATTGCTCTTCTGTTATCTCTAGTCTCACCCAAAAAGCTTGACTATCTCTTTATTATATTTATTCATCTAAACTATGCCCAGAGAGGCTAGATATTTGTACCCTAAGTCACCCAAACAAGTTGTACAGAAGTCTGGACCTCTAAGATAAAATCCTGCCCTTCCTTTGGGAGACAGGCAGTTATAACCAATTGGGATTTCTAAATGGTATTTGCCCTTGTTTATTTCGTGATACCTCTGTCCGTAATATCTGCTCACATGTGCTGGCAGATGCTAAGGTGACTTGCAAAGGTGAGTTTTGAGGAAGAGGTGGGTACTTTGCAGTCTCACTGTGGGAAAATGCATGTTTAACAAGGGCAAGGGCATGAAAACTCAGTGACTGAAGACCAGCAAATATTGGAAATGAAGTCAAGGTTGATAACTGCAGAAGTGTATGTGCTTTTCAAAGCACTATAATTTTTAAAAGTAATGCCTTTTCAAGATCTGAAAACATCGCATGTATTCATAGGTCAGGAGTGAAAACGGCCTGACCCTCACTTATTTCCATCTTCCACTCTAGCCAGTCGTTATGTGTGACGTCTCTTATGTTTTTTAACTTTGGGTTGTCCCCTCCCATACAGATTTTGGGACTGGCCATGTGACTGGGTTTAGTGAATGGGATCATAGAAAATCTGACACATGAAGGAGACTGAAAATCACTGAGGTTTGCCATCTCTGGCTGCTGGGTACATTTCCACCACCACTTGGACATTCTTTGGCTGGCCTCCTGGAAGATAACACTCCATATTGTGAGAACCCTGACACACCCAGAATTCTGCCTGAGTCCCAGACATATGCCTGGGTATGTGAGTGACACCGTTCTCCAACAACCATCTCCAGCTAAGTCAGAACAACTTCCACATGCACTGAATCAGAAGTAATAAAAGTAATAGTGAGCAACTGAGATTTACAGTGCCACAGGATAAGTTACAATATAAGTTGACTAATAGAGACAGCTCACTTGTGATGGAAAGAGACAAACATATAAGCATAAACGAAGTTATACCTATGTATTTGGACATACTCTTTAGAAAATAATCACGGGAATTCATACAGTTACACTGCTTCAGGTTTTTTATAACAACAAAAGGAGAGAATCCTTTAGTCAGTAGCCCATTGTCAAAGTAAAACACCAGGCCCACCTCAAAGGCAATAATAGATAGTTTGTTATGAAGCCAAACATGCGTGACCATGGCCAGGGAACCTAACACAGATTCAGGTCACCCCAAATTCCTTGCTTCAACATGGTAACAGTTTGGTGAAGTTTTTATAGTAACAGAGCAAAGAAAGTCATAAATCAAGGCACTTTTTAAACACATTGGTGGAAACATTAGGTAGGGGGATTTATAACAAAACAGAGGAAACACTGCAGCAGGCCTCAGGTCTATCTGACAGGTCTTCAGAGCTCTTTGGTTGGTTGGAAATTAGGAGTGTGTTATACATTCAAAAGTATTTACCAATGGTCACAGAGCTGCTAGGCCACATATAGAGGAAGGTAATAAATATCTATTAGGAGTATTAAAAACGCCCAAGGTAATTTGGCTCTGGACTTGCAACATTCCAACCTCTACACATTATTGAGGTTCAAAGAAGTTAGTAAGCAAAGCAGCAGAAGGGCTGGCTCTTTTCAGGAACTTTCTTTCACAGCCTCATTCCAGTCTTTATTGGTACTATGTCATCAACAGTTGAACACCCTTTTCAGTCTATGCCTGCTTTGTGAATTAGAGCACAGAAACTTTTACCTCCTTCCTTTTTACTTTATGCATTCAGAAGCAAGCTTTAGAAATAGCTCAGCACCAGTGAACATCAATCTATTCCTACACATACACCAGACTACTTTAGTCACTCCCAATTTATTCTCTCTTAAAACTGTCTTTACAGCCAGGCATGGTGGCACACACCTTTAATCCCAGCACTGGGGAGACAGAGGCAGGCGAATCTCTATGAGTTCAAGGCCAGCCTGGTCTACATAGTGAGTTCCAGGTCAGCAGGGGCTACAGCAAGACCCTGTCTCAAAAAGACAAAAAAAAAAAGAAAAGACAGTGCTTGCCAGCACACTTACTAAAATTGGAACGATATAGAGAAGATTAGCATGGCCTCTGCACAAGGATGACAGGCAAATTCACGAAGCGGTCCATGTTTTTGACTTTGTTGTATTGCAACTTCCCATTCATGAGCGTGCTGCATTTCTCTGCTTCTTATGTTTTCTTCATCACCTTCAACATTTAAAACATAATTTTCTACATATTACTATAATTTATTTCCAGATTTCTTCTTTGTTGCTTTAAGATTTATTTTTTTTGAAAAATTTGTGACAAAAGATATATTTAAATTTATTACATTTTGCAGGTATATAGAAAAGGTTCAGTGATAAAAAATATATTTAAATTCATTACATTTTCCCGGTACATAGAATAGTTTCAGTTTTTAAAAAATTTATTTTTTGTTTGCCCCAATGATGAACTCATTAATTCAAATGCAAAAAAATAGGGCAACTGAGGAGCCAGTTAGGCAGTCATATCAGCTGTAAATAAAAGCCTTGTTTACTTCCCATCCAGGCATATGCTTCATTTTTTCCTTGTTATAATCAGAATTTCAGTACACTGTTGAGTGTGAAGGCATCCGTGGGCCTTGCTGTCCAGTTCCTGAGTTCTTTGTAATGCTTCTAGCCTTTCACTATTAACCATAGTTGTTGGTGCAAGCCACGTACCCAGTTAGAGTCATTTTCTGGTTCTCACTGCTTGTAGTGGTGGTGGAGTTTGACAAAGAATGGGAATAAGAGATCATCATCATGCTTGTTAAAATTTTTATTATTGATTATATGTATGTGTTTGTGTGGGGGTGTGTACACTTGAGTATAGGTGCTCATCGAGGTCAGAGGAGCATGTAAGATGCCCTGGAAGTGGAGTTATTTTGGTGGTTGTGAATCACCTCACATGGGTGCTGGGACTCAAACTTGGGTTCTCTGCAATAGCAGCAAGTGCTCTTAACCTCTTAACCTTTAAGCTATTTCTCCAGGCCCTAGATTACTTAAACAAATTATTTTATTTATTATTATTGTTGTTATTATTGTTATTATTATATGTGTGTATGCGTGTGTGTGTGATATGTGAGTGTGAGTGTAGGCAGGCACTTGCCACAGTATAAACAGAGGAGTCAGAAAACAACTTTCAGCAATCAATTCTTTCCTTCTTCCCTTACATGGGTTCTAGTGATTGAACTCAGGCCAGGTCATTAGGCTTGCATGGCAAGTGATTTGACCCACTAAGCCATCTAGTTGACCGGCCCCCTTTTCCAACCTTGAGGAACATTACTGCACATAGTCTCCTACTCCTGAGGCTTCAACTGATGATGCTCAGACTTTCCTATGGTGCAACTTTCACTGGAAACTCTTCTCCAAATTTAGAATTTTGTTTTCCCATCCTGGCTGTAAGTAGTATGATTGCCTGTCATCCTGGTGGGTAGTGGCAAGAAGCGGCAGCCCCAGCAGCAATGCAATACAGACTATGCAATGTGGCATGTTTCCAATCTGTGATGGTCAGGGGTTAGACACTTTCCATTTACAATGGGTTTATTGGAATGTAACTGCATCTTAAGTCATGAAACATTTGTACTTACTCCTTCATCCTTGAAGGGTTGATATTTGAGAGTAACATCTTAAAGTACAGGGGTGTGTATGTGTGTGTGTGTGTGTGTGTGTGTGTGTGTGTGTGTGTGTGCGCGCGCACATGTGCATATGAGTGTGGATGTGTTTTAGTCTGTCAATTGCTTATATCAATTTCAAATTCATGTTTCTCTCTCTCTTACCCCCCTCCAGTAATTTCTATTCTTCCTTCTAAAGCATCTTCTGAAATTTCTCATCCTGTCTTTAGTGTCTCTCATTTGTCTTACACTTTTCTCAGCTTTTTGAGATAATAACTAACAATAAGAGCTGATACTTACAGAGCTCTTTATACATACGCATGGTTCCCAATGGCCTATGAACTCAATTTGATATTCATAACCACCCACTTCTGTTTGAATGTGATAAGACTGGTTTAAGAAAGCAAAACCACGCTAGGTGTTTCAACAGAAAACACTTGCATAGGAAATTGTTCAAGCAGGTTTTGAAAGGCTGCAGAAGAAAAATGAGCACACTCAGGTTTCCATACTTTACATAGAAGTAATGGTGGTGGTTACATCTGCTAGCCCTTGGATTAATGGAATTGAGGGAAGAGCCTATAGGAACTCAAGAGAGTTGGGGTGCATAACTGGGAGGAGCTTCACTCTCGGCAAGAAAGGGGAAAGAAAGGGGGTCATGGGAAATGAGGAAGAAGCCTGTTCTGGAACACAGAACAAAGAGAATAGGGTCACTTCCTGCTGCTAGAAAAACAGCACCAGGAACAGTCAGAACAGTACCAGGAACAAGCAGCAGACAGACATCCCTATCGCTGCCTCCTATCTCTTGGTTTCCTTCTGTGACCCCTATTAACACAACTCTGCAGGAAACCAATTGACAAAGCAGAAATTACACCAAGTGTTCCAGGCACCTGGGGTGTTAGATGGTATATTTGGACCTTACAGAAAACAGCTTAATAATGATCAGAAAGAAATTGCATAATTTTCCAGTTGCACAGTTAGTGGTACATAGCTCATGTTCAAGTCTAGGGAGCTTGTTTCTAGAATCTGTGCTCTTACCCATTAAAGCTGCCTCTTCAAGTCTTGGAGCTATGTGGAAATTTGAAGTTCTTTTCCTAATACCCTTTCTGTTAAGTCCAACTGCAGAGCTTTATTTCAGTGGTGACAATTTTAATTTCTACTATTTATCAGGTTGATTTTATTATGGGAGAAACATCCTCTTGCATTTCTGAGGATATAAATTGTCCTTACTGTCCTGCTTGCCCTCTTTAGCCTCTGCCCTCAAGACATAGCTTTTCTTTAGTGGGACAACTGCAAAGCACTGGTGTGTGCTCATACACAGGTGTCTCCTGAGCTCTCCTCTCCCTGTGTAGCCAAGATATCTTTCTAGATTTCTGATTTGTCAGCTTGTCAGGAAAATGGAGGTAAGCCACTGTGGCTTGTAGTCTGAGTAGCTTTCCCTCTGTTTGGGGAAGCTCAAGAAATGTGCTCACAGGTGCATACTTTTGACCCCAAGTTCTCACTGCACAGCAACCACTCTTGCATCTAATATTCTTTTGACTGCATTATAAGAAAGCACCTACAAAAAGGTAGGATTTGGGTTAGGGAGTTGGTTCCATGGGAAAGGTGTGGCTAAGCAAGCATGAAGACCCGAGTTCAACATCTCCAAAACCCATGCAAAAGCCAGACCTGGTGGCACATACCTGTAACCACAAGGCTGGGGTGCAGAGATAGACAGATCCCAGGGGCTTACTAGAAAGCCAGTGTAGCCAAAATACCAAACCTCAGGTCCAGTGAATAATCGTGAATCAAAAAGTCCAGTGGAGCGTGATAAAGGAAGACACCTGACAGAAGAAGTCTGCCTCTGGCCTCCACACATGCACACATGGGTGAATGTACATGCACACACCACATACACACAAAAACACATGCCAGAAAGAAAAACTAATAAAAGAAGTTGACCTACTTGGAAACTCCTTCTGGTCACCCTGCTGGTTACTCTAAGGCAGGATATGCTCCCAGTTTTTCAAGCAGAAGAAGGCACCCTTTGTTGGGGGAATTTCTCTTTTTCAATTGCATTACTTTCACTTTGCACCATTAAAGAATATCATGATTGGAGTTGATGATTCAGTCCGTAAACACCACACAAGCATAAGGACCTGAGCTTATTCACCAGCACCAATGTGAGACATCAGGCACAGTGTAGGCCATTATAGCATGTGCCTGTAATCCCTGGGGAGGTAGAAATAAGAGGATCCCTGTAGCTTGCTGGACAGCCAGGCCAGCATAATCAGCAAGCCCCAGGCCAGTGAGAGATCCTGCCTCAAAATAAGATGGAGGGCTCCTGAGAAATGACACCTGATGTTCACCTCTAACCTCCACATGCGTGCACACACACCTGCACGGCACACACACACACACACACACACACACACACACACACACACAAGAAAAAG